CGGGACCGGCGAGACCTTCGAGACCTGCGGGGCCCGTGGGACCTATGGGACCTGTGGGACATCTGGGACACGTGGGACCTGTGGAACCTGTGGGACCTGTGACCGCCGAGGACCCAAGTAAGGCCCTGAATTCTGGGACCGCCAGGCACCCAAGTAAGGACCTTACTTGGGACCCCGGGAATTCCTTATTAAATTTGGTGGATCGACAGATGTCTCGCACTTTGGGACCATCGAGGCCCCCCGGGGGGCATTTATTAAGGAACCAAAAGTTTCCTTACGTCCACCATGTTTTCTTGGAGCGGAAAAACCCAAAGTTCAAACGTCCCGGCGTGGCCGTCGGAGAATCCAACCAGCCACCCAGCTTGGAAACGCGCGGCAAATGTTTCGCCGAGGCTGAACGCGACTCTGCTGCCGTCGCCACCGTAGCTGCACTGCATCCGGTGATCCACTGGCCTCAGGGCCCCGAAGAGTAAGCCTCCTAGCGGTGTCCTGACGACCTCCTGGAATCTGGGGGGAGACCGCCGGGGGACCTCCCCTGGTCCTCTTGGGGGCCTCCCGCAAACTTCCAGAAGGGGGCTGGGAGGTCTCCCAAAAGCTTTTTCTGGTCCTTGCAAGCCTGCTGGGAATCCTCCCCGAGGACCAGGGTCCGGGAGCCTCCCCCAGACCTCGAAATCTGGCAGGGCTCCCTCCAAGGGGAAACTTCCGGGGAGACCAGGGGAGGCCCCCTGGAAACCTCCCCTGGTCCTCCCGGGCCGCTGGGGGGAAACTTGGTGGAGGACCAGGTGAGGTCTCCTGGAAGCTTCCCCTGGTCCTCCCGAAAGCCTCCCACAGGAGACCTCCCCCCTGCGGGAACTCTCATCGGAGGCTTCCAGGTGAACCAGGGGAAGCCTCCCAGAGACCTCCCCTGGTCGTCCCGGAAGCCTGGGGGAGGCCTCGCCTGGTGCTCCCAGGGGCCGTGGGAAGCCTCTCGCCACACCTTGTGGAAACCAAGGGAAGCCTCCGGAAGGCCTCCCCAAGCCCTCGGGGGGATCAGGGGGAGGTCTCCAGGAGAACCAGAGGAAGTCTGGTGGAGGCCCCCTCCACCTCGCCGGAGGAGGGCCCGCTGGGAGGTCTGGTCGACGTGGAAGGGGGGCATCCCACCAGACCTGTTGGAGGTGGAAGGGAGGTCTGGTACCAGACCTAGTGGGGTTGGGGGTAACTGAAGACCCAACCCAGGCAAAGCAAGAAAACCAACATGGAGGCGAACGCGGCCCAAGACGGCACCAAGATACCCCCCAGGCAACTCACGACGGCCCAAGAGGGCCCCTAATGTCCCAGGTAGCCCCATATACGACTCAAGAGTGTCCCAGGAGGCCCCCATGACAACCCGACAGTAACCCATGACATACCACATGTTGTCCATGTGTGCCACGTGAGAACCCCGGGAGACGCAATAATGAGACAAGGAGAACGAAATGGAAGAAGGGAGGGTGACAACATGGGGGACGTGGGAAGGGGGAGGGCGACGACGTAGACGAAGGAGTGCGCCCCGAAGCGGCGCGGAAGAGCGCGTCACATGTTGCGGCCCTTGCAAGGCTATGGGCGACGACATGTCGCGCGTTATGGCTTTCGTGGCGGTGCTCGATGACTCGCCACGCCGAGTGCTGCGCGGTCGCGGTGCGCGGGACTTGCCGCGAACAGATCGGCATGACGCACGCGCCGTGGTTTCTACCACTACCGCGCGACGCGTATGATTTGTCAACAATGTCGCGCCCTCCACGAGCGGACCGGGCCCTCCACCTTGAGACGTGCGCAATAAAACACCATCAAAACATAATGCGAGTGGACGAGGGGGAAAGCAACCAGAAAAGGTCGCGCGAAAGGTGGACAACAAATGAAAAATGCTCACACAAAAATCACATGCGCAAGCGCCCAACGAAACTAACTTATAGACACTCCAACAATTTGGCGTGCCGCGAAGAAGGGAAAAGGGGCGGGGGGCCCGCGTGCCCACGAGGAACAAACTTAACGGCATGGTAATCGCCACTGGACACGCCGTCACGCAGAGCCGCTCTGACAACACACACGCACACGGGCGCATCATCGCGCAAAAGCGGCCGAACCACGCCGCGCGAAGCATCGCTGCGCCAAGGCGATCCGCCCATGCAAAACACGCGCAAATGGCATCCGAAAAGAGCGTTACGCGCCGCGCAAACAAATATGGCGCGGTGCCGCAACAATCAGGCGGCTACGAATGTAAACTCCTCTGAACTGCGCGCACGCGCGTCGTGTTAAACAGGCCGCGCCGCGCAGGCACGCCACTCGGTCTCGCGCCAGCACGTCGAAGGGAAGGTCTGCGGGAGACGCTCTGCAAGTGGCAATGAAGCAACCCCACGAGAACGCGATACATGTGAAATCGAAGCACGTGCCAACAGTAACCGCGACAACAGAACAACCAACAACAAATCATTGTAAAGAAACATCCATAACTTCCGGTTGCGGTGGTTTCTTGCGCGGTCATCGAAGGAAAGCGCGGCTGCCCATCGTGCCCAAGTCCTTTAGCAGCTCGCCTGCGTCTGCCTCCTCGTAGCCGCACTTCTGGAGTGCTTCGGCGAAGCGCTGCCAACGGCCCTCGTCTGTAAGAGCCTTGGCCGGCCCGTCGCCTTCCGCGAGCTTCGCCCGCAGTTTTGTGAAGGTGTTCGCGGCGAGCGCCGCCCCAGGCCCGCCTCCTAGAGCTGCCGCCGTTCGCTCGGCCGGGCCTCCGCCCGCCCCTGGGGGGCCGCCCGCTGGGGAAAGGGCCGCAGGAGCGCCAGCTGGTGGAGCGCCAGGCGCAGCAGCCTCGGCCATCGCACGAAGATCTGAAAAGGGGGTTCCGAAGATATTCGCATATCTTCTGATGGAGGGGGTCGTAAAACCGTAGCGGACCACAAGCGGTCCCACCCTTGAGCCCCAAACGGCGGCAGACACGCGGCGAGCGCGCGCGAGAGTGAGACACGACGAGGGGCACCAAGGAGTCTTTGCTTCACCTTTGCGAATCCGAGTTTTATGCCCCCTTCGTGCTAATTTCGCTCGCGGTCCATCTTTCTCCCTACCGTGTCCATCCGTCCTCTCTTTCCCTGACGGGCTGCGGTAAATTGACGTAGCAAGTAAGGAAGCTATCCCCCAAGGGGGTACAACCGAAGACGAAGAAGGCGGGTACAGAAGGTTTGGGATATACGCGTTGAGTGGCACGCGAGCAGATAAGAGCGAACAGCCTTAAACCGAATGGCGTTGTTGATGTTGCTCTTGTTGTTGGTGTTGAAGAAGAATTTGGTGTTGCTGTGGTTGTCGCTGTTGTTAGGCTTTCATTTCTCAAGAACAGATGCTGTTGACACCCCCTCCGGCGACCATCGCATACTTAATCAACAAGTTATCTTCTTAGGGGCCGCGCCTGTATTCGTATAGGGGCAAATCTTGAGGTTCAGATTAAGCCTCTGGCCCCCGACTTACAACAACAACAACAACAACAACAACAACAACAACAACAACAACAACAACAACAACAACAACAACAACAACGGCTCATGCATGATACCTCGTCACAATTGATGTCAACATCGCGCCCTTGCGCGGGATTTCCTCACAATGTATGCAGGAATCGCGCTCTCGCGTGGGACTACTTCAAAATTTGTTCAGACGCCGCGCCCTCGACACTCAGGAATCACGCTCTCGATCCTGCCCTTCGCACGATTTACTTGTGAATCGCGCGGACTCACGCTTCAGCAACCCGACTGCTCGACCTGGCCGCCCGGGCCCGTCTTCTCGACCCGCCCGCTGCTGTCTTCCCGCCCGATCTGCTCGTCCGGTTGTGCCACGTGTTTTCTTTTCCTATCCCCCCTCCTGCTAATTTCTCTCGTGGTCCATCCTTCTCCCTCCCCTTTCCATCCGTCCTCTCTTCTGTTGTTTTAGGGGCTGCACCAATTACACGCGGCGGACAGGGAAGATAGCTATACCCCCCCGGGGGATACGATTGAAGACGAAGAAGGCGGGTATAGAGGGTTTGTTTGAGATATGCGTGTTGAATGGCACGCGAGCAGGAACGAGGGAACAAGATTCAACTGTTTGGTGTTGCTGTTGCTGACTCAATCCCGAGGGCGACAACGCATTCGGACGCCCAAAGCTTTCCTTTGGCAAAAAGGAAATACGAGCACCGAAAGGAGCACCTTAATTGAAGAACGCAATGGGCATTGGGCAGGGGAATCAACAATAATTGCAACAACTGCAACAGCAAGAACAACAACGCCGACACCAACACCAACATCAGCAACACCAACAACAACGATAATACATCAACAACAACAACAACAACAACAACAACAACAACAACAACAACAACAAGACTCCCACCAGCGGTCTCCACTTCAGTCACGCACCTGGGGACAGTGTAAAACCGTTCGGCCCCATCACTCTGATTTTCTCCTCCGCTGATCCCCGCATGGCGGGTTTAAAGAACCCTGATACACAAAACATTGTCAACCATTTTGTACTTCCGCCGCCTTCCGCTGGCGGATGCAGCCTCGTTGTGACTCCGCCGCCTTCTGCTAGACTTCCGCCGCCTCCCTCCAGAGGCTTCGATTTTCGAAACCAAAGCATTTCTGACTACCCACTAAACCACCGCAATCCAACCTGGAGTCGCCATTGGGCCTGACAATTTTCAGGGGTGTGGCATTCTGGAACATTCTGGGAAAACGCTATGTTAACTGTGCGCCCCCCAACCCGAAATTGGGGAGGACATGGGACCTTCGGGTTGGGTTGGGGCGGTTTGGTGAACAGTGACTTTCTTGAATGTCTCAAATTAGAAAACAACAACATAAAGGTAAACTTTTGGCACTCCGCGCGGAGCGCGCCAGGGGCAGCGCCGGAGGCGCCGCCGGGGGGGTGGGCCCATGCACCGATCTAAGGAATCCGCGCGGAGCGACAAACCTTTATGTTTCTGGCGTGCTTCTGTTATTATTCTTCTTCTTCTCCGATCGCGTGGGAGCCTCCGACACGCTCGCGGCCACCAGGGCCGCGTAGAGCGTCGTGAAGTTGGTGACGGTATCCACCGCCTCCCACGACAGGTGTAGCCGCCCCGCCTCCCGCAGCGGGGCCAACCGCGCCTCCGCGCCGCCGCCCGGCGAGCTGACGTACACGTCGCACGGCACCTGGGGGGGGGGCGGCAGCGAGGAGGCAGCGGAGATGTCTTCTGGCCGTGCGCGCAATTTCGGCGGCGAGCGAGTGGGGGAGGTGAGAAGGAGAAGGGCTTCTCAGAAGGCGGCGGGGCCTCGCAGAAGGCCTCGCGCCTTCTGAAAAAATTGTGGTTGTGTCTTCGGGGGCAGCTAGGAAATCTTCTCAGAGGGCTGGGAGACTTCCGAGCCTTCTGAGAAGGCCTCCTCCCTCTCACTTCCCCCCTGGCTCGCCGCCGAGCAATGTTCTGGAGAGGGGGAAAGGGGAGGTTTAAATCAGCGGGCGCAAGCGGGTCAAAGCCGGTGCAGGGCCAGCCGGGCTAATGGCGGGGCGCGCAGGGAGCGAAATTGAGCTAAGGCGGAGAAAGACGCAACGGAAGGGGGAGGAATGAGGAACACGAGAGAGAGAGAGAGAGACGACCTCGCAACAGCTCAGTCAAGGCCCCAACTTGGCGTGCGGGCAACTCCACGGAAGCACACGCGACAGTGCAGGCTTGAAGTGCGACGGTTGGCACCTCTTGCTGAGGGTGCCGCGGCGGTGGCCCCGGGGACACGCTATGCCCTGCGAGCGGATAGCGCGTCGCTCCCCTCCGCGGGGCGGGAGACTTGGAAAGGCTCGGGACGTGGACGTTCGGGGACCAGAAGGTGGTTAGCGTGTCGCGCCGAGGCGTGATGGGCCAGAACCCGCGGAGCGACACGATAAGTCACAATTCCTGACGGGGGGATGGGGATGGGGAGGAGGAGGAGGAGGAGGAGGAGGAGGAGGAGGAGGAGGAGGAGGAGGAGGAGGAGGAGGAGGAGGGGGTTCGGGCCTGCGAGCGCCACAGCATGCCCGTGGGCAGCAGGGCCAGCCTGTCACCACCAGGGTGCGCCTGCGAGCACCGCGCCGGTGCCTGTGGGGGAACTGGGCCCCCCTTCTCTGCGTACAGTCGGGGCGTTGACCTAAGGAACCCTAAATAAGGAACGAGGCCCCTTGTTTCCATAAGGTAAACTTCGATTTCCTATCGAAAACATAAGGAGCACCTGAGGCAAGCTGTGAGACACTTACGGAACGCGGAGCCCCTCCCCAACCAAAAGGGTTCCTTCTTCAGGGCCCCGACTGCACGTTTTCGAAATCGTTGCGGGGAAGGGGGGCGGATGGGGAGGCGACTGCTCCGAAAGCAGAGGACGTTGGGGGGCGGTAACAGGCAAACCGCTTGTGACATCCCCCGATCTAACGGCGAATCCTGGAACGTCCCTGACCCTGGCGGCCCCCCTCCCCTCCCTGCGTGCGTTCGGCACCGTTACGGGGAAGGGGAGGAGGGGGAGGCGACCCCCACACAACGGACGCCACGGGCTCACCAACACACAAATTCTCGACGCGAATCTCTCCATCTGTGCATCTCGTATTTCTGGCAAGTCTCGCTGAGGGACTCCGTCTGTGAGCATATGTGTGCGAGGGCGACTCCGCGTACACGACGGGGGCGGGAGCGACGGCGCGAACGGGCGAGTGATGTACCACTGGCGGCTCCCCCTTGGGAGTGCTGAAGCCAGCGCCTCGCCTAAAACATCCTCACAATCTGCTCCGAACGCAGGAGACAAAGAGGGGCAGAAGCAAGCAAACCGCTTGAGACATCACCCGATCTGACCGCGAAGCCTAGAATGTCCTCAACCCTGGCGCCCCCCCCTAGAGATTGCTAAAACCAGCGCCTCGCCTGAAACCTCCTCACAATCTGCACCGGAAGCAGAGTATGCTGGGGGGCAGAAACAGGGAAACCGCCTGAGACATCCCCACAGTCAGGGCGCGAATCCTGGAGTGTCCCCACTCCTGGCGGCTCACCCTTGAGGTGCCCAGATGCCACGCTTGATCTGTCGCGGCGAGCAGTGGACCACCAGAAAAGCAAGAATGAGTCCGAATGAAGAAAAATGTGTCGGAGTGCTGGATTCTGAATGTGTATGAATGAGAATGCGTCTGAGGCTGATCCCCTAAGTGGGTCTGAGTGAATCTGACGGTATATGAGTCTGCGTGAGTCTGCGTGAGGGAGTGATGTGGCTAAGTCTGCGTTGCGAATCTGTAATGAACCAGCGCACCGACCACGACATCCTCACAATCTGGTCAAAACGCAAACGAATCTGCCCACTCAAACAAGCAAACGCTTGAGACATTCCCGAAATTTGGGCCGTGAATTCACATACCCGAGAGAGCGTGATCCACCGCCGTTTTACTTTGGAAAATTGCCAACCTTTTCCTCCGGAGCCCGGGGGTCGCCCCCCCCCCTTCCGAAAATCTCCCCCCTGCTGGACCCCCCCCCGTCCCCCGGCAACCCCCCCCCCCGCCCTAACCCCTCCCCCCCATCCCCCCTCCCCTCGAAAACCGGGGGGGGTCACTACCGGTTCGAACCCCTCCCCCCCCCCTCCGGATCCGGAAAAAACCCGGGGGGGGTCAGGGGGGGGTCACTACCGGTTTCGAACCCCCCCCCCCCCCCTCGAAAACCGGAGGGGGGGGTCACAACCGGTTCGACCCCCCCCCACGCACCGCCAGCAAACGACTCCCGGTCCCTACCACCGTCCGCATCACATCCCCCACTGTTGTTCCCAGCGCCACTGTCCTCACCACCACTGTTCCCGCTGGTTCCACCACCGTCCCTACTGTCTCCACCAGTGCCCCCACCACTGTCGCACTGTCCCTACTGTCCCCACCACTGTTCCCACCACGGTTCCACTCTCCCCACTGTCTCCACGGCCCCAACCACTGCCCGACTATCCCCACTGTCCCCACTGTCCCACTGACTCCTCCGCTGTCCCATTGAGCTGTCCCACTGTTCCCACCACTGTCCCCACTGTCCCCACCACTGTTCCCACTGTACCTCTGTCCCATTGTCCCACCGCCGTCCTCGCCACCGCCTTCACCACTGTCCCCACCACCACTGTACCTTCCACTGTCCCACTGTTTCCACCTCATTCCCACTGTCCCCACACCACTGTCCCCACCACCACCGTCCCCGCCACTGTCCACTGTCCCCCCTGTTCCCACCATTGTCCCCACCACTGTCCCCACCACTACCGTCCCCACCACTGTCCCACTGTCCCACGGTCCCCACCATTGTCCCGCTGTCCCCTCACCACTGTCCCCACCAACACCGTCCCCACCACTGTCCGCACCCCCACTCGGTTTTCCAGGGGGGGGGGGGGGGGTCGAACGGTAGTGACCCCCGGGCCCCGGTTTTCGAGGGGGGGGGGGTTCGAACCGGTAGTGACCCCCCCCCCTTTTCATGATGGCGGGGGGGGGGGGGGTTCGAACCGGTAGTGACCCCCCCCTTTTCATGATGAACGGGGGGGGGGGGGGGGGGGAGGGGTCCGAACCGGTAGTGCCCCCCTCCCGGTTTTCCAGAGGGGGGGGGGGGGAGGGGTTCGAACCGGTAGTGACCCCCCTCGGTTTTCCGCCAGCAGCGGTAGAACACGCTCTTTCACATACCCCCTGGCGCCCCCCCCCCTCCCTGGGGCGCTGAAACTAGAAACGTCTAAAACGTGCTCACAAACAAAAGATGTTGACTACCAAAACGAGCAAACAGCCTGAGGCAACCCCACAACCTGGGCGCGAATGGGCCCGTGATGTACCCCCTGGTGGCCGCTTCTGGGGTTGCTGAAGCCAGCGCCTCGCCTGAGACATCCTCACAATCTGCTCCGAAAACGCAGGAAGTTGGCCACCCACACAAGCAAACCGCCTCAGACAGGCGCACAATCTGATCTTGGACGGGGGGATAAGCTACCCTGTGGCTGCTCCTCTCTGGGGTGCTGAAACCAGCGCCTCGCCTCAGACACCCTCACAATCTGCTCTGAACGCAGGCGAGTCTGGCCACCAAGACAATCAAACCGTCAGAGACATCCCTACAATCTGGGGGCGGCCGGGTCCGTGACATACCCCCTGGCGGATCCCCCTTGGGAGTGTTGAAACCAGCGCCTCGCCTGAGACATTTCCTATCTGCTCCGGCAGCAAAGGGTGTTGGCCACCAAAACAAGCAAGCAACCCGCCTGAGACTTCAACGCAATATGGGTTTGAACTGGGGAATGATATATCCCCTGGCGACCCCCCCACCCTCTTGGGTTGCTGAAGCCAGTGTCTCGCCTGAGACATCCTCACAGTCTGCTCCGAATGCAAAACGTGCTGGCAACTAAAACGGAGAAATCGCATGGGACTTTCCCACAATCTGGGCGCGAACGGGGGAATGATATAACTACCCCCTTGGCGGCTCCCCCGTAAAGTGCTGAAGCCCGCGCCTAGCCTGAAGCATCACCGCTCCCTGGGCGCGAACAAGGGTCTGAGTTTGAGTGAGTCTGAGTGTGAGTGAGTGTGCATGTGTGAGTGTGTGTGTGTGTGTGTGAATGTGCGTGTGTTTGTTTCTGTGTATGTGTGTGCCTGTCTGTGTGTGAGTGTGCGTGAATCTGACTGTGAGTGAGTGAATATGAAGGTGTGTGGGTCTGAATATGAATGAGTCTGAGTGTGAACATTCCCACCAACCTGACCGCGAATCCTGAAGTGTCTCCAAACCCTGCGAGCCCTTCCCCCTCGGGAGTGCTGAAGCTAGAGCCTCGCTTGAGACATCCCCGCAGTCTGCTCCGAAAGCAAAAGACGTTATAGCCCGAAACAAGCAAGCCGCTTAATACATCCCCACAATCTGGGCGCGAGTCCTGGGATGCCCCCACCACTAACGCCCCCCCTTTAGGAGTGCTGAAGCCAGCGCCTCGCCTGAGACATTGTCAATATCTGCTCCGATAACACAGGATGGTAAGGTCCGGAACAGGGGAACCGTCTGAAACTTCCCCACAGTCTGGACGCGAATGCTGGAATGTCCCCGCCTCTGGCGCCTCCCCCTCCCCCCCTAGGAGTGCTGAAACTACCCCCTCGTCCGCGACATCCTCAGTATCTGCTCCGAACGCAGAGTGCGTTGGGCATGCGAACTGGCAGACCACGTGACATCCCCGCGATCTGTGCGCGAATCCTGGAATGTCCTCACCCCTGGCACCCCCATTTAGGAGTGCTGAAACCAGCGCCTCGCCTGAGACATCCTCACAGTCTGTTCCAAAAGCACATGTTGTTGGGCACACGAACGGACAAACCGCCTGTGCTATCCCCACGATCTGGGCGCGAATCCTGGAGTGTCCTCACCCCTGGCGCCCCCCCCTTAGGGTGCCCAAGTGCTACGCCTGCTTTATCGCAGTGAGCATTGGACCACGAATGAGTATGAGTGAATCTGGGTCTGAGTGTGCGAGGAGTACGGCCGCGAGTTAGTCTGAGTGGGATTGAGTCTGGAAGTGAGTGAATCTAAATGTGAGTGAGTCCGAATTTGAGTGAGTCTGCATGTGCTGGGCGTGAGCAATTCTAATCGTCAGTGAGTCTGAATGTAAAAGAATAAGGGTCTGAATGGGTCTGAGGGTGTGGGAGTCAGAGTGCGACCGAGGCTGAGCATGACTGAGTTTGAGTGAGTCTGAGTGTGATGGGGGTCACTCTAACTGAGGAAGAGGAGGAAGAGGAGGTGGGGAGGAGGATCTCTTGGAGCCGTCTCAGAAATAACACTGACCCCATCTTAGGATATGGGGAACAAGAACCCCGTCTTATGATATGGGGGCAGACAGGAACATCCATCTTAGGATATGGGGAAGAACGATCTCGCGGCAGGCCGAGGCCCCCAGCGCATGGGAACCAACAACAGCACGTGCGAGGCGAGAAACTCACGCTCGGGGGGCGTTGGGGAAGCTCTGGGGCGCCTCGGAGACGGCTCTGGGTGCGCTCTGCAGTTTCTGGGAGACGCTGGGGATGTCCTGGAAGCCCATAGACGAATCCGCCGACCCCTTGGGGATCATCGGCGTGTGAGATGCTTCCCCCTCCCCAAACCCCTCCCCCGGGAGCCCGGTCCGGTCGATTTGGAGGGGGGGGGGGGGTCCGGGACGAGCGTAGCACGGCCGGGACGAGCGGTTCACGGGGCTTTTCCGGGCCCAAGAGGGCCTCAAGACGGGCCAAGAAGCCCCCAAGAGGCCTCCAAGACGGCCCACGAAGGCCCCGAGACGCCAAACGACCGCTCCAAGACGCCCAAGATGGCCCCAAGACGGGCCAAGAGGTCTCCAAGACGGCCCCCGAGGTCCCAAACAAGCCTCCCAAGAGGGCCCCAAGAGTCTAAAATTGTTGATTTTCCATAGTGTTTTTCGATGTTTTTTGCTTTTCCGCCTTTTCGGCTTCCCGACGCTCCAAGACGGCCAAAGAGGCCCCAAAGACAGCCCCAAGATGGCCCAAGAGGCCCCCAAGA